CCAACTTTGCCAAACTTTGCCACTGCTACTGAGGTGAGATGGTATCTCATAGTGATTTTTATTTGCAACTCTCTAATTAAGGCTGTAGTCTTTGATCTTCTACAGCAAATGCTTTAAGTCCTCTTCACTTATGGAAAGCATCTCTCCTTTTTCTGAGTGAGGCATGGAACTCATTCCCATCCAAATGCAGTAATACTTCTAAAGTCTATAAATTCCCTCTGGAATAATAAATAGTTGTCTTTTAGTTTGACTCTGGGTCGGTTTCTTGGTCTCTCCATGAACATTTATACCAAGGGTCTTTCCCTTCTGGGTTGGAGCCCCAAACAGGTATAGATGCACAGAAAGTAAAACTAGAAACACATACAACAAATATGTTTATATAGAGACCATCCTTCAGAGGTAAGATTATGGGTGGTTTTCATTTTCTTATTTACTTCTTTTTTCATTTTCCTCAATAAGCAAAAAACATCATGGAAATATTTTACTTAATAGTAAACATTAAGGAAAGGTTCTGGGGACCACTGCAAGTAATTGATACCTGGCACTTCACCTCAATTAAAATCCCAGAAAATTGTTTCCTGCCCACAAGGGATTTTTATGAGGAAGACTGAGGACAATGGGGTACAGGTAGTGGGAGGCTAGCAGTCTCCTGAGATCTCTTGTCATCACTATCTCCTTCCCCTGTACTTTCTGTTGCTGTGGCTACTGTGTGCCATCAAATTGGAACCAACTCATAGCTGATGACCCATAGCTGAAAAGCAATGGGTTGTCAGAGGCAGTAAATCCCATAGACGTTGATGGTCCATCCCTTGGAGCAGCTGGTGGATTTGATTCTCACCACTGGGCCCACTGGCAGAATCATGATAGATGGAGAAGATAAACAGATTGTTAAAAATTTCAGCTTGTTCGGTTGTTCCACAATCAATACTCTTAGCACCAGCAGTCAGGAAATCAAAAGATTAATTGCATTAGGGGAATCTACTGTTAGGGACCTCTCCAGGGTGTTGAAGAGCAAGGATGTCAGTCTAGAGACTAAGGTGCACCTGGCCCAGACCATGATCTTTGCAATTACTTGTTATGCATCAGAGAACTGGACAATGACTAAGGATGATAGAAGAATTGATGCCTTTGAGTTGTGATGTTGGAGTATTGAACATACTATGGACTGCCAAAACTACTAACAGGTCCATCCTGGAGAGGGTGAAACCAAGCTGTTTCTTGGAGGCAAGGATTTTGAGACTGCATCTTACATACTTCAGGCATGTTGCCAGGGAGGACCAGTCTTTGGAGAAGGACATCATGTTTGGTAGGATGGAGTGTCAGCGTAAGAGAAGAAGATCCTGGATGAGTTGGACTGACACAGCAACTAGATGGTGAGATTGTCTTTGGACAGGACAGACTTCAGAGCTATTGTGCATAAGGTCACTATAAGTCAAAGTCTACTCATAAGCACTCATAGCAAAGGCCACACCTAACAAATGGAGGAAGAATGTTGCAGTTGTCCCCAGGCATGATCAGTCCTTGAAGAAAACTGATCAGACAATGGATCCTGATAAGGCCCTAGGCCCACACACAAGTTAATTAACAGGACCCCGCCCCAAATTCTGAACAAAATACCATCTTCCCTAGACATCCCTGTTGTTGTTGTTATGTGCTAGTGAGTAGCTTGCGACTCATAGTGACCCTATGTACACCAGTCCTAAACTCTGCTCTGTCCTGTGCCAGTTGCACTGTCTCTGATACACCCACCCCGATTACCCCAGTCTCATAGAGGGCCTTCCCCTCCTGCGCTGTCCCTCCACCCTCCCAAGCATGACGTCCCTCTCCAAGGACCAGTCCCTCCTTATAACACGTCCAAAGTATGTCAGACAAAGCCCCAGAATCCTTGCCTCTAAGGAGCCACCTAGTTTAGCCCTCTCCAGGATGAATCTGTTTGTTTTCCTAGCAGTCCGTGATACCCTCAGTATTCTTCTCCAGCACCACAGCTCAAAGGCATCAATTCTCCTATCCTCCCTAGTCATTGTCCAACTCTCTGATGCATAACAAGTGATTGCAAAGCCCATGGTCTGTATCAGATGCACCTTAGTCTCCAGAGAGACACCATTGCGCTTCAGTACTTTGGAGACGTCCCTAACAGCAGACGTCTTTTAATTTCCTGGCTACTGGTGCCAAGAGTGTTGACTGTGGAGCCAAGCAAACTAAAGCTGTGAACAATCTTGATCTCTTCACCATTCATCCTGATGATGCCAATTGGTCCAGTGGTGAGAATCTTTGTCTTCTTGACATTGAGCCTCAATGCATATTGAAGGCTGAAGTCCTTGATGACCCTCTAACAAAGTAAAATATTACAATGAAATGTGCAAGGAGCTGAGTTAGAAAATCAAAAGGCCGAGCTCGCTCAGCATTTCTTAAGCTCAAGGAACTGAAGAACAAATTCAAACCTTGAGTTGCTATAATCAAGGATGCTTGAGGCAGAATATTAAATGATCCAGGAAGTATTAAAAGAAGATGGAAAGAATATACCGAGTCACTATATCAAAAGAAATTGGCAGACACAGAAGGATTTCATGAAACAACATATGAGCAAGAGCCTATGGTGATGAAGGAAGTTCAAGCTGCTTTGAAAGAAATAGCAAAAAATAAGGCCCCAGGAATAGATGGTACGCCAATTGATATATTTCAGCTAACAGATGCTTCCCTGGATATGCTCACCAAGTTGTGCCAAGAAATCTGGAGACTGAGTAAGATGGGTTCAATGATGTGTGCTGCACTGAGGCGGAGGAGGGAGGGAACTGTTTAAAAGAGATATATAACTGGGTGTTTCTGTCATCACAGGAGTCTAGAGCGAGGGCTGCATGGTGGAGGGGACCTGGGGGGGGGTTTGTGGAACAATGAATCTTTTCTTTTACTTTTCCATAATTTTTGACTCATGTACTTATAACTTGTTAGTCAAATTTGTGTCTTCTAGGTTGCAACACCCCCATGATACATCTTCAAGGATATGAACATGTATGGCCAAGCACAATCAATAAGAGTGCATCTAAATTCCAAAATCAATCTCCATAATAGTCTATGTGTTTCCTACTGCCAAAGGGGCCCTTTAGAGTAGTGAGAGAAGATCTTCACCCTGAAACCCACAGCGTCCCTTTTCAGCAGGAAGTAGCTAAGAGAATACACCATCCCCTTTTCCTTATGAATCAGGGTGAAGTCTCTCTCAGGGAGGAGTGATAGGGAATGGCAAAGGACACACTGACAAAGAAGATTAATCAGAACTGGCTTTGACAAGCACTGTGGCATTTGGACAAGAACAAACTGGGAGGAGGGTAGAGAGAATGGTGCAGCGGTGAATGAATGGAAACCCAAAATCTCTGTAAATGTTTATGAAAATTAATAAAATATAATTATAGGAAAAAAAAGAACAACAACAAAAAAGAAATCTGGAGAACAACCACTTGGCCAACTGACTGGAAGAGATCTATATTTGTTCCCATCCCAAAGAAGGGTGACCCAACAGAGTGTGGAAACTATAGAACGCTATCATTGATTTCACATGCAAGCAAGATTCTACTGAAGATTATCCAAAAATGATTGGAACAGCACATCAGCGGAGAACTGTCAGAAGTCCAGGGTTTTAGGAAGTCGTGGTACTAGGGATATTGTAGCTGATGTTACATGGATCTTAGCTGAAAGCAGGGAATACCAGAAGAATGTATATCTGTGTTTCATTGACTACGCAAAGGCGTTTGACTGCGTGGATCATAACAAACTGTGGCTGACTCTGAGAAGAATGGGAATCCCAGAACATTTGATCGTGCTAATGAGAAACCTATACTTAGACCAAGAGGCAATCGTCAGAACAGAGCAAGGAAACACTGCATGGTTCAAAATTGGGAAGGGTGTAGCCAGGGATTTGTCCTGTCTCCATACCTTTTCAACCTGTATGCAGAGCAGATTATCCAGGAGGCTGGGCTCTATGAGGAGAAACATGGGGTCAGGATTGGTGGAAGATCTATCAACAACCTGCGTTATGCAGATGACACAACCCTGCTTCCTGAAAGCTCCCTAAAACCCCAATAAAAAGGAACCGTTCTTGACTGCCATTTTGACCTTCTCCGCGGGGTCACTTGGCCTCCTTCTCAGACTACGCAATAAAGGCCTGTTCGATTATTTGGGACCAGCTAATTTTCTATTGCCCTCAACTCTCTTTTTCTATCTAACAACAACTATAATCTTTAGGTTGGCAGCGCAACTTCTTTATCTCCTACACACAAAATGAAGACTCCCGTTTATGGAGCTTTCAAAAGCAAGTGGCAAGTGGCAGTGGGAAGGTGGTGGTATTATCGACGTGCTTATATTTCAGCCATGCCCTAGAGAACTGATGATTGCCTAAACTGGATGAACTGATCCAACTTGCAATCCAGATAAGGAGACAAACTGGCAGGAATCACGCACGTCCAAGTGAATCAACAATTGTGTCCACAGCCAGCTCCATTCCCGCTCATCCCGGGGCGCTCCAAGGGATAGGAGGCCACAGTTTTTCATGATGGCTCCTCTGATCTCAAGTCTTGCCCTCGGATAGAACAGTGCGGAGAACGTCCGCTTGGGAAAGCAGAGCAGTTGGCGGGACCTGATTGGGCCTGTGAATACGAAGCAGCATCCTGAGCCAAGTCCCTCCGGTCAACGGTCCTTAGTTGAGCTTCCCCTAGCCGCCCGCCCGGAGGCGGGCACACGCCCTCAGTCTGGGTCGTGATTGGTCCACTTCTTCCGCTCGGCCACGAATTGGTCGTCCCTGCGGGGCTCGCGGACAACGACGATGAGCTCACGGACTGGCGGGAGTGTGTCACGTGACCCCGCACCCAGAAGTGATGCGGCCAGCTCCTGGCCAACCAGGAAGCTTTCGGGAACTCGCGGGATCCGCCGCCTCGCCGGGAGGCCTCTATATATCTGCTCGCTCTCGCAGGCATCTTTGCTTTCTGCTGGAGTGACAGATCGCCTTCCTTCTGCTGCCTGGAAGCGCAGTGCCGAGACCATGAGCGTGGGGTTCATCGGTGCTGGCCAGCTGGCCTGTGCGCTGGCGAGGGGTTTCACGGCTGCAGGTAAGCGTGCGGGGCACGGACGGAGAGGCGGCGGGGCCCCAACACGAACGAGGAGTTTACCGCGGGTCAGGTAGTTGAGACTCGTGTTAAGGCAGTAAGAGTCCTGTCTGTGGAAAGGATCTGAGAGGTGAGGAAGATTGATGAACTGCTGAGAGAGGTTGCGGGGTTGTATATACCCAATGGAAAGCTAGTTGACAAGTTCTGTCTTATACAGGTATCTTGTCGGCTCACAAGATAATAGCCAGCTCCCCGGACATGGATCTGCCCACCGTGTCTGCACTCAGGGTACGTGAGGCTGGAGGGACGGGGGAAGACTATGAGGGCCCAGAAGGATGGCCTGAGGTTTGCCTAGCTGATCACCCCACGAACATTCCAGAAGGTGGGGCCTTCTCCGGAGCATCTCTTGCTCATTTGCCCAGTGGTCATAATGGAAAACTTTTTTTGAAAACTTTGCCAGCAGAGGTAGGGGTGGAACCAGGAGGCTCCGGGCTGCATTTCCCTGAGCGGGCTTGGGCTTCAACTGCGCCTTGTGTGCACTGAGTGCTCAGGCTGACCAGTCCAGTGAGCCTCGGCGTTCTTCTGCAGAAGATGGGTGTGAACCTGACCCGAAACAACAAGGAGACTGTGCGCAACAGCGACGTTCTCTTCTTGGCCGTGAAGCCGCACATCATCCCCTTCATCCTGGATGAGATTGGGGCCGAGGTCAAGCCCCGGCACATTGTGGTCTCCTGCGCGGCGGGTGTCACCATCAGCTCTGTGGAGAAGGTGCCCATCTTGGTCCTGTGTGAGAGGAGGGGCGGCCTGAATGAACAGGGAGGAGCTGTTGTGCTCTCTGGTAACCGTCTTGGTCTTCTATGCTGCAGAAGCTGATGGCGTTTCAGCCGGCCCCCAAGGTGATCCGCTGTATGACCAACACGCCGGTGCTGGTGCGAGAGGGTGCCACGGTGTACTCCACGGGCACCCATGCCCTGGTGGAAGATGGACAGCTCCTGGAGCAGCTCATGAGCAGCGTGGGCTACTGCACAGAGGTGGAAGAGGACCTGATAGATGCTGTCACCGGGCTCAGTGGCAGTGGTCCTGCCTATGTGAGGCCCTGATGCTTGTGAACCTTCTGGGGAGCCTTTGGGAGTAGACAGGCCACCAGATGGGCTTGGTCTGACAAGGACCATGCTCCTCTTGGTGTAACTGGCTGGTGGAGTCTAGGTCTGCTCAGAGGAGTACCCTTCAGTCTTGGGCCTCCTGCTGGGACTTAGTGAGTGTCTCCACAGGCGTTCATGGCCCTGGATGCACTGGCTGACGGAGGGGTGAAAATGGGCCTCCCGCGGCGCCTGGCGGTCAGACTCGGGGCACAAGCCTTGCTGGTCAGTATCTCCTCTGCAGTGAGGTGGGTAGAACAGAAGGGTGTGATAGAAGGTAGACGTGACCTGCCTACCCCTTGCTATTGGCAGAGAGAGAGGCTGGATTCCATCCCCAGTCAGGCAAGAAGGTCTGGGGAGGACCTTATCCAGAGCACAGTGGGGACCAGTCTCTGTGGGTCACTGCACTGAGGCCAGGCTCAGGCAGCTGGTATTGGGGTTTGGGAGGAACATTGAACTTGGGGGAGGTCATCCCAGGGTGTGTCAACGGCCTTCTTGAATGCTCCTTTCCTGCCATAGGGAGCTGCCAAAATGCTGCTGGACTCTGAAGAGCACCCCGGTCAGCTCAAAGACAACGTCTGCTCCCCCGGAGGTGCCACCATCCACGCCCTGCACTTTCTGGAGAGTGGGGGCTTCCGGTCTTTGCTCATCAAGGCAGTTGAGGCCTCCTGCATTCGAACACGGTGAGTCTACCTTGCTTTTCTTTCCTGCCTCGGGCCCTCTGCACCTCACTGATCCCCGCTCCAGGCTAGGTGATATTTTAGAGAACCTGCCATATTGGGCCCTTTAGGGTATTGGGTCTGTGCGGAGTTTAAAACTACCATCTACTAGACTTTGCTTAATGAGGATTTATGGACATTTTATCTCTTTAATTACTCACATAAGTCTGACAGTATGTGGCCCAAGGTCAAACAACTGTAATGAGACGTTTGTTATGTAGAGCAACATGGAGTTGGAGCAGACCCACAGCTGGCCCTCCAGTGGGTTTTCAGAGGCAGTTAATCCCATGCGAGGAGATTGCCCAGCCTTCTCCTGTGGAGCAACTTGTGTGTTTGAACCATGTGTCTTCGGGTTGTCAGGACCGCTCCTTACTACTAAGCCACCAGAGCACCCCGAAATGGGGAGCTTCCCCTTCCAAATCTGACCCCAAAGCCAGTGCTTTTTAAACTCATTTCTCCTCTGTAATTACAGATACCTTAGAATTCTACCTGGTTTAGATCAGATAAGAATAGTAAAGCCTGTCTTTAAACAGTACTTTGGAGAAGTTTGGGGAGGTATATGGTTTGGGAGTCTGATGGGTGTCAGACGGATGAGGGTTGGCAGTTGTCTGGGTGCAAAGCTGTGGGAAGCTCTTGCTCCAAGCTTTGCAGCCTGCCTTCTTCACTCCCTCTGGGACTTTGTTTGTCTACAGAGAGCTACAATCCATGGCTGACCAAGAGAAGATCTCCCCAGCTGCCCTCAAGAAGACCCTCCTAGATAGAGTGAAGCTGGAGTCCCCCGCAGTGTCCACGCTGACACCATCCAGCCCAAGGAAGCTCCTCACAAGAAGCCCACCTCTGGGAGACAACAAGGACTGAGGCAGCCTCTGCCCTGCTTGTGGTCCAGGACCCTCAGCTGAGGTGGCCTGGAACGTCTTACTCCCATTCCCCTTCCATGCAGCCCAAGGGCAGCCTTAGGTAGCTCTAGGTCCCTGTGATAAACAAGCAGAACTAGTTCACTGGCCTGTCCCCTGTGGGACTATGGGGTGATGGAAGTGAGATGTGACTTGTCCACCTCCTGCTGTTGGCAGAGAGGCTGGACTCCAATCCCAGCCCCAGTCTGGGACTGGGATTGGAGTCCAGCCTCTCTCTGCCAACAGCGGCTTTGGTCAGACCAAAGTTGGCTTTCCTTCATTGAATTCATAAAGGGGAAAGAAAGAAGTAAGGAACTTGGAATTTTAAAAATGAATCACAAAGGCAAAACATTAGGCTATGCTTGTATGTATTTTCTTCTCTACAGATGTACTATTTAAAAAACTGTTCTCAGCTGCAAAGTCTAGCTGTGTTAATAAAGTTTTCACTTGTTTTTGTACTTTTTTAAATTGCCTTGTCTTAAGTCTTTGCTCCAGCTCTTAGCAAGTTCTCCTTGCTTTGGTGGGGAAACACTGTCTGAAGTGGGGTAGAAGCAAAAAGGGTCCATTTGGGTTTATAATGAAACTATTGCCTCACTGCTGCTCCTATCAAGATTGGGAGATATAGTGGTCATGGATGGGCTCAGCTGGAAACAAAGAAGAGCCTAGTATTTTGAGGCAGGGATTGGATGCCCAGACACACAAGTTGTGTTATGCTGCATTCTGCTTGGTGTTAGACTATATATTCCAGCCCTCAAGATGCTGAGGGCTAGAGAGGAGGAGCCACTCATAACCTGTTCTGCTGGTGGTTACTAGGGCTGTTTTGTGACATGCTCAAACAGAAGGGAATCGTGTCGCCAGCGACAAGCAGAGAATACCACGAGTCCTTTGAGGCCAGAGTTTCCAGCACCGGTCAGACCGGTACCCAGATGAGAGCAGCCGTGGCCACAGAGACCAGTGTGAGGCAGAGCTGACCTGGGGTGGCTGCTCCCTGGGACCAGAGCCAGGGGCCCACACTGAAGCTTACTGGAGGTCTTGGGGTGGGGACCGAGTGAGTGTCATATTTGGCAGGACTATACCAATTGACGTATTTCAGTTAACAGATGCTGCCCTGGACGTGCTCACCAAGTTGTGCCAAGAAATCTGGAGAACGACCACTTGGCCAACTGACTGGAAGAGATCAA